CTGAGTCTCCATATCTGCATAATGGGTCAAACATATGTACATGAACTAGGTTGGACTTTTGCCTTAGTATGGCCGCTTAGACGATTAGCCTTGCAAAGGATGTTCTGTTGACAGTCTGCTGGTAACTTTCAATGGATGCTACCAGTGTGGTCCTAAGCCCGAAGGGGGAAGTCTAACACTGAGTAGAGTCTGCAGACATGTTAGTGGAGGCCACAGAATGACCCAGGGCGGCCCAGGAAGTGAGAACGGTCCTGCGGATTCGGAGTGAAAAGAGCCTCTAAATTCATCACAGGCATCTGCACCCTGGAGAAAAAAGCCAGAAAGAAGAGCAGAGCAGAAACCAGGGACCCAGAGCAGGGACCGGTGGAGGAGGCAAATGGGGGGTGGCAGGACTTGGGGTCCCTTCTTCATTGGATATTAGGGTGGCTTCTGTTCTGGTCATCACCACTGTGGTTCCTCCTGAGCTAGGAGACTGAGCAGCCTGTCGCCTTGTCCGTGTCTCGGATGCTGGCGGGAGAGCTGGGAAGGGCTCGGAGATCAGATCACAGCGGACAGTCAGCCATGTTGACATGGCCATAGGGCTAAGGCATTTGGGTGAGTCTCCTCACTTTGCTCACCTGAGGGTCATTGGATAGTGCGGTTTTGGATGTTTCTTGAGTTCTAGGAAGTTTATAAGCCATTATTGATGTTATTTTCCCACAAGGGAAGACAGAAGCAAGTGGGATGAACCTGGACTTCGCTCACCAGGACCATCTAAGACTGAAATCTAGACGGCATATGTCCTTGGGCCAGATATTCAACCTCCCCGTGCATCCATTTCCCCATCTCCACAATGGGAATAAATATCAATTTCTCTGGACTGCAGGAAGAACTCCATAAGCTCTTCTGCTTGAAGTGTCCCATGTGGTACCCAGCACACAGTGGTTTGAGAATTTGTTCCCACTTGGCAGAAATCAGCCTGTCCTTCATCCTGCATCCACTAGATGGCCATCCCAGTGGACCTCTGGAGTGGGGTTGGGGAGCAGTTTCCTCTCATTTTGCTTTAGGTTCCTTTCCTCTATACGTTCTCCAGAATGAAGTGAATCTCTTCCTCTTCAGAGTATCTCACAGCATCACGCTTCTCAGAATATGCTTTGAGTTATAATGATTTTACTTAAAGGTCACCTCCTCTTCCTAGGCTGAAAACCCATGGAAGGAACTGTGGTATAAGAAAGAGTGGATCTGGTTTTTGTCCCTGGTTCCAGGCATAGAGCTTTAAAACCCTTGGATTTCCTGAGCGACTGGAGTGTCTTTGTTATGCTAATGAGGCGACCAGGTTGGGTAGGGCTCCACCCTGCAGGATGCTGGGTGCCCCTCCTGGTGCTTATTTTTATAAAATGTCTTCATTTCATTCTTTTTCTTGAAAAACAGTTTCAGGTTGATATTTTCACCCCCAGCTCTTTGAAGATATTACTCCACTGTTTTCTGGCTTTTACTATTGTTTTAGAGAAATTTACTCTCGGTCTCACTGTATGACCAATTTCTGCAACTGGCTATCTTTTCTCTCAGGCAAGTTTTTAGATCTCTTTGTCTTTGGTTTTGTGTGGTTTTATTGTGTGCCTAAGTGTGGATTTTGTTAGTCTTTGCTTGGTACATTTTGTACTTCTTATCTCTGTGAATTCATGTCTTTCGTCACTTCTGGAATCATCTCAATCATTGTCTTTGAATATTGCTTCTCTTCCATTCTCATTAGTCTCTCCTCGTGGAACTCTTATTAGCCATATGTTAGAATATCTCATTTTATTATCCATACCTTTTAATTTCTTTTTTCGCTTCTTTGTCCACCTTTTTAAATCTGCCCTTTTAATAATATCTTCAGATCCATCTTCTAGTTCACTAATTTTCTCTTCATCACTCTCTAAACTGCCATATATATGTAAATTTGTGTGTATATTTCACAATTCACCCATTTAAGGTCTATATTTTTAAAAATGAAGTCTATAATTCAGTGATTTTTAGTATATTCACAGAATGGTGCAACAATCAAACTTAGAATCTTTTCATCACCCCTAAAGTAACACTGTACCCATCAACAGTCATTCCCTATTTCCTCCTATTTCTCCTCCCCTGCCTTTGGCAACTGCAAACCTACTTTTGTCTCAACAGATTTGCCTCATCTGGACATTCATCTAAATGGAATCCTACCCTGTCATCTTTTGCGACTGGTATCTTTCACTTAGCATAACGCTAAACTGCCTTATAAGCCATCTGTTAAATTCTTCACCTCAACAATTTTTTAAAATTTCTGTAAGTTCTTTTACTCCCTTTTTCAACTTACCTGATCTTTTAATAGTCTTTTTCCCCCCTGATGGTCTCATTTCTGTCATCCCATCTTTACTTCTCTAAATATTTCACACTTACGCTATTTTATGATGATGTCTAGGAGAATGATTAAGCATCTCACATTCTTGAGATTCTAAGTCTGCTGGTTTTTCCTCAAAGCTGTTTGTTTCTTTAGGTATTTGGTGATATCTGAATGGAAACTACTGTTTAGTTGGTCTTGGTTTGTGGAGAATCTGGGGTTTTAAATATTCCAGAGAATTTGCATAGGCTTCTGCTGGGAACTGGGGCCCTAGAAACCACAGGACCCCCTTCCAAGGGTCTAGTTTACAGTTCAAGTCTTGGTTTCATCTCGAGCCCCTTCGCTGCTGACTACTGATAATGGTATTTGCCCACACGTGCCTCTTATGTCTCTCCTTCAGGTGACAGCCCTTCCTATGTGTGATGGGTATAGGCACACGATGTCATGTATACAAGCTTTCCTGGAAAACATCATACATCATGTCCAACAATACACAGAAGTTCTGTCCTCTCTAGTTTATCTACAGTGGAAGGGCCCCTCAGAGCACCTAATTTGCCATCCTATTCCGCTGCTTGGAAGCCCCTAGCCTGCTTCTGTTTCTGCCCTGCTTCTCTGGCTTTATCGGTCAATCTTGAGTCTCTCAAAGAATCCTCTCCATCCTTCCATTTCCTGTGTGACTTTCCAAACTCAGAATCTGTTGACCCGCAGCTGAGAAGACCGACCAATAGAATAGCTTCCTAGTAATAAGGATAATATCTGTGAACACCAGCAGTGCTCCCTGCCCCATTCCAAGGGTTTGGTTTTTGTTTTGGGTATAGTTTTTTTTTTTTTTTAAAGATTTTATTTATTTGAGAAACAGAGCATGAGTGGGGGAGAGGCGCAGAGGGAGAAAGAGAAAATAGCAGACTCCCCACTGAGTGGGGAGCCCGATGTGGGGCTCGACCCCAGGACCCTGAGATCAGGACCTGAGATGAAGGCAGATGCTTAACCGACTGAGCCACCCAGCTACCCCTGTTCCAAGGGTTTTACATGTGTTAACTCCCATAGTCATGACAACCATCCCACTTTGCAGATAAGGAAACTGAAGCAGAGAAAAGCTAGGGGACTTGTTTTGGGTCCCAGAGATTGCAGTTGTTGGAGCTGGGGGGCAAACGCAGGCAGCCTGGCTCTTTTCTTTTTTCATGATGGCAAAAAGAAATACCAGGGCTCAGGGCCATCCAACATTCAGCAGAAAAAGCCCTGTTTTTTGAGGAAAAGGCTACAGACACCCAGTAACTCATAAAAGCCGTGACCTGGCCTTTCTGGTACGATGTGAATAGCAGTGAGGTTTGGCAGTGGGTCTGGGGTTCTCTGGGCTTTTTTTCTGGCTGGGAAAAACAACAACAACAAAAAACAATGCAGCAACAATAAAACAACATAAATTCTCACTCAAGAGCTCCGTGACTGCATCTGTGTGGATAGTCTAGAAAAGCAATGGTACAGTGGCTTAGACCTCGTGATGCAAGTAGCTTTGTGACATTTTCAGCTCCACTGGGAAGCCCTGAGAATAGACTCAAGCCCATACCTTTGACTTGATCCAACAGAGGCATGAAATTGACGGTCAGGTATGAATCAACAGCCAGCTGTGTTCCAAGTCGCTAAGTGACACCCACGTGGGACTGATAGGAGGCATTTGCTTCAAGGAGGAGAGGTGGTCCCCTCTAGTGATGAGACCCTGACCCGCCCCTCACCCTGTCCCAGGACATGCTTTCTACTGGTTGGCTACCTCCTTCAAAATAAAGGTGTGTTCTCCTATGAGTGAAATCATACGCTATTAGGACACACCTTTATTACTCTTATGTAGACTTTAAGAAACAAAACAAATGAACATAGGGGAAGGGAAGGAAAAATAAAATAAGATGAGAACAGAGAGGGAGATAAACCATAAGAGACTCTTAACTCTAGGGAACAAAGGGAGGGTTCGAGGAAGGGGAGGTGAGTGGGGGGATGGATGGGGTAACAGGGGGAAGGGCATTAAGGAGGGTCCTTGATGGAATGAGCACTGGATGTTACATGCAACTGATGAATCACTGGATTCCAACTCTGAAGCTAATAATACATGATATGTTAATTAAATTGAATTTAAATAATAAAAAATGTGTGTCCTTTATAATAAGGACAACTGTTAAGCACTTACTTACCTTGTGCCAGGCACTATAAAAAGCTGTTTTTACAGACTTTCATGCTTACTTGCTTTACGTGCTTGTCCCTTTTCCTCCTCCTCTGTAAGACCTGCACTATTACCCACTCATTTCATGCATAAGGAAACTAAGCCTGGGGGAAGTGACTTTCCCACGGCCCCAGGGCCAAAAGGGGGCAGGGGTCATGAGAACTTAGCTCTCGGGGCAGCAGAGCCTGCTTTTGGGCACTCTCTGTCCTTCCCAGGAGTGTCCCCACCGTCTCTTCTTTACCACATTAGCCAGAAGGGCCAGCTCGGGGCAGGTGAATCTCAATCCAAGGACCAAAGGTTAGTCCTTCTGTCAGGGTCCTGAGGATTTGTCTTCTCCCCTCTGATGTGGATCTGGCTACCAAGGGGCGTTGTACACGGGGTTTCTCGGCCACAAAAGGAATCAGTGGGGCCCTGAGCTGTGAGGTCCGGACCTGGTGGGCGTTTGTTTACCTTCACTGCTTCCCAGCTGGAATTCACCAGGTGCTGCCGGAAGGGCCCAAAGCCTGAAGCCAAAGAGACCCTGGTTAGCTCAGGTCGGCTTATTAGGCCTCTACACCTGGGCTGCTCCCCAAATTCCCAGGGGGGCTTCCTGCGCTCCCAGGGCCATGGTGGGCCTGGGGTACTCCATACACCCCCCTTCTTCAGGAGGCCTGCCACCTTGCCAGTCTGGGAGCATTTTCAGAGTTCTCTGTGTCAGGCATTGTGGGGGGAGCCAAAGAGGAACGTGCTGCCCACCCACGCCCAAGATAGCAAGGCTTGAGAAAGTGCACAAATGTCCGGTTAAAATGCATGCTTTGTTAAGAGCCTAGAAGCACACCTGTGGGAATATGCCCCGTTTTTGCTAGGAGAGGTGTGGAGTCAGTTTGGGGGAAGCGGGGGAGGATGGCCTTTCCAACAAACGGGGCTTGAACAACAGGATACCCGGAGGCAAAAACACGAAACCCCAACCTCAGTCTGGCACCTTGCACAAAAATTAACTCAAAGTGGATCATGGCCTTCAACAAAAAAGGGAAAACTATAAAACTTTTATGGGGGAAAAAGGGAGAAAGTCTTGAGCCCTAGGCTTAGGCAAATTCTTGACGCCAAGAGCACACCATGATCTATGAAAGTAAACTTTAATAAATTGAACCCCAACCAAATGAAAACTTCTGCTGTATGAAACGCCTTTTGAGAGAATGAAAAGAAAGACATGGACAGGAAAAACAAAAACAAAAATAAACAGCTGCTGATCACACATCTGAGGAAGGCCTTATAGGTAGACTATATAAAGAACTCTCAAAACATAACGTTAAAGAAACAACCCAATTAAAAAGTTGGCAAAATACACAAAGGGATATTTCACTGAAGAAGATCTATGTACAAACCAACAAGCAGAGTGGGGACTGTCTGACGCGCTTGCCAGCAGGGAGACACGAACTAAAACCACAATGAGATATTATCACATTTCTAGAAGAGCAGCTAAAATAGAAATGCTGATAACACCAAAAGCTGACAGAGATGAGGAGAAACTGGCCCATACACCTTGCTTAGTGGGAATGCAACATGGTACTGCCACTCTGGGAAATAGTTTGCCAGATTCTTTTAAAACTGAAAGTGGACTTCCCAGCGTGCGTACTCCCGGATGTTTATCTCAGAGACGTGAAGACTTGTTTTCACACAGAAACTTGTACACACATGTTCACAGCAGCTTTATTTGTAATAACCCAAAGCTCGAAACTACTCAAATGTCCCTCAAGAGGTGACAGTAGAGCAAGAATTCCGGATCGTGGAATATGACTCAGCAGTGAAAAGAAAAAAGTCGAAACCACACAAATGTGTGCATCCACTGACGAATGGGTAAAGAAAATGTGGGATTCATAGAAGAGGAAATGAAGTACTAATGCATGGTACAGCATGGCTTAGCCTTGAAAATATTATGCCAAGTAAAAGAAGCCTGCCACAAAGGACCACACAGCATATGGCCGCGTTTATATGATACATCCAGAATTGGTAATCTAGAGAGACAGAAAATAGGTTAGTGGTTCGTAGATTTGGAGTGGAGGGTGGGCTGGGTGGTGGCATGGGGAAAAAAAAGACAAAAGAAAAATTAAAATTTCTCCCTACTTGCAGCCCACTGACCAGTCCTTAAAACAGGCAGAGTGATATTCCTCTAGGAACTCAGCTGCCTCAATGTGAACACTTTGCTAAGGGTGAAAAGCAATCTTAGCCTGTAAGTCTTTAACATAAAAATTCCTTTAGAAATTTCATTTATCTTTGCTCCCTGAGATACATGATGGCAGTCATCCCTCAAGCATATGGCTCACCGATATACATCGGAAGGGTTTCAGGACTAAGATTTTCTTGGACAGTAATAAAACAACCTTTTCCCAACTAGCTAGCTCCCTCAAGGTCCTGGAAACCTTGCTACCAAAAGTCCTTAGAGAATTATGTTATCCCTAAGCCTCTCTCAACTTGAAAGTATATGATGGGCCACTCCTCATGCCCCATTCCAGCTCTTTCTGCCCACAGATCCCATGCTTTAACAAAACCAACCACCTTTTTGCACCAAAGATGTCTCAAGAATTCTTTCTTGGCCTTCAGCTCTGAACCCTACCCTAACCCTTTCCTACATCAGGGCAGATTAGGGAGTGATAGTTAAGGGGCTTGGGATTTGCCTTTGGGGTAATTCAAATGTTCTAAAATTGTTTGTGTGATGAATACATAACTATGAATATACTAAAAACCATCGAACTGTCCATTTTATTTATTTTTATTTTTTTAAAGATTTTATTTTTTTATTATATTTTTATTATTGTTTTTTAAATATTTTATTTATTTATTTGACAGAGATCACAAGTAGGCAGAGAGGCAGGCAGAGAGAGAGGGGGGGAAACAGGCTCCCTGCTGAGCAGAGAATCTGATGCGGGGCTCGATCCCAGGACCCTGAGATCATGACCTGAGCCGGAAGCAGAGGCTTTAACCCACTGAGCCACCCAGGCGCCCCTAAAGATTTTATTTTTAAATAATCTCTGTACCCAACATGCAGCTCAAGCTCACAAACCCGAGATCAAGAGTCACACATTCCACTGACTGAGCCGCACATGACAACTGTCCATTTTAAGTGAATTGTATAGCATGTGAATTTCATCTCCATAAAGCCATTAAAAAAAAAAAAGGAACCACTGATACAGACAACAGCTTGGATGAACCTCAAAGGAAATATGCTGAGTGAAAACAAGCCAATCTCAAAAGGATGCATACTTCACGATGCCATTTATACAATATTTGTAAAATAACATAATTGTACAGATGCAGAACAGCTTAATGGCAGTGAGGAGTTAGAGATGGGGGAAGTGGATTGTTTTCAGCCCAAGTATCTAGATACCCTGTGGCCAAGTCAAGTTGAGACCTAAAATTAACCATCACAGGGCCTAAAAGATGATGCAGGCGTGACCACACCCAGGAGACCGCTTATTTTCTCTCTCCTTCAGAGTGGCCCTTGCTCAGAGCTCCTGGGTCACCCCCCACCCCTGCCCCTGCACGGGAGGCCAGTGGCTGCACAGAACTCAGGCTTTCAGAATAGGAGCCAGTCCCGGAGAGGATGGTGCCTTCGAAGTTCCTGAGCCTCTGAGTCTAGAACCGCTAACAAGCGTGGCTCACAAGGGATCCATCCCTCTTTCTCAGGAAATGCAGAAATTCTGGACAGGATGTCCTGACCCCAGGAAGACCATGGTGCGTCCTCTTGACACGGACTGACTCCTAGACAGTAAATAAGACTGTGGCCGCCACTGGAGGCAGCCTGGGAAAACAAACAAACAAACAAAAAAGTTTTAGAAAATATTGAGATTCAGAAAAAAATCACTGAGAAACCAGGTACCTCCTGGGATGATTGCAGACATCATAAAAATGCAGAGCCACAAGAAAAAAAAAACAAAAAACAACCACATTCGGCTTTAGAATCATATTCAGATCAGCATGGTCAGATCATCTCTTCTCTGTTTTTAATTAGGAAAAACAGCTCAGCAAGTACAGGTTTGAACTTCTTGTTCTATAGGGTCCAACCTTACACTTTAAACTTGGCAGGCTCTGGGGGGGAGGTGAAATTTGCATAAGGCTGGGGAATCTTCTCTTGAAATCATGGGAGGCCCTCTCGAGGGAGGGATGCAGGTTTTCTTAGCCTCCCCCTGTTCTTCCCGGTGCTAGTCAGAATGCCTTGAACCTGAGGCCTGTTAGTCAGAGCCCTGTCCTCTCCCACCCACATCAGTCTCTGCGCCAACTGTCTTGGCCAGATTTCCACGCAAATCCAATTATAAGAAGAGACTACCCTTGGCAGTCCAAAGCACTTTTAATAAAGGCAGGCCACACTCTTAGAAGCCAGTGGGCATTCCCACATCGTGGCGGATAATCAGGTATTTCATCAAAAAACCTAATGTTTGCCAGCAAACCACAAGCTGACAGGCCAGAGGCAGGGGTCAGTGTGAGTCAAAGACATGCCAACTGGGCCTCAATATTCATAACTCATTTGTGACAAGCATTGCGTTTATCAGGGATACAGTTTCCTTAGCAATTCCAGAATATTTTGAACCACTCAGTCTCTCTACCCCCAAATAACACAAATGAGAACAGGGGAGATAAAAGGTTTCCAAAGAATTTTCTTTTCCTCAGAAGGTTAACAGGAGTTTGATTATAGTCTGAAAATATTAAGATAGTTAAGTTTCGGTTTTCCATGTCCATAGGAATCCTTGTGTCCTGTTCCTTTCATCACACACAAGTCGAAAAACTTTAAATATGTCCAAGTGTCTAACTAGAAAGAAGGAGCTTTGTGAAGAAATCGAGCCTTTCAGGGACCAGTTTTGACAATGACTGAGGGCGGCTGAGGGGGATTTGGGATGAGCTGGCGGAAGGTAGGAGTACGTGGCTACTGTTACCTCCAAGTTGATCTTTTGGGGTTCAGAGTCTCCCCTTGAAGGTTCTCAGGTGGTGTTCAGGGTTTTCTGAGTGGCTGAAAGCTCTTCAGTCTGGGTGTTGGGGGCTGTGTGCTCCTTTGGGGGAGGTTCTTGTAGAAGGACCGCTGTCCCAGCCTTATAAGGCCCCATCCTTTCTGGATCCTCAACTCCCACTGCCTTGCTATGGAGCTGACTCCCCAGTGGGTACCATTACAGTTCAGGGACAGCAGGTGCCAACCTCGATTCCTCCCTGGTGGGCGAATGGACAAGGTCTGAGCCCGAGCCACCCGTAGGCACCTTTGAAGTGAAGGATAGGACCAGAGCCAAAAGCCACTCTGTCCCCTGGACTGTTTTTCAATTAGGGCATGGCAAGACGCGAGCTTCCATCTGGAATTATTGGCACCACCGGTTGCCACTCTTTTTTCCCCGAGAGGGAGCTGTTTATGAGCAGATCAGGCAAGTGCACATTCCACGATCAGGCTAAAAGCAGCAGCAAATGGGAAAGCAGAAGAACAGTCTTACCCGTCACCACCACGCAGCTGGGCTGGGAATCCATGAAACCCAAGTGGGGAGCGTGTCTCTGTGTCTCTGGGGGTCAGGCGGCCAAGGCTCCGCCCAGGGCACCGGGCACTCGGAACACCGGGCGCCCCTCCCGCGTGGCTGCTGACAGTCTCAAGCTCCTGGCGTGTGTGTGTGTGTTGGGGGAGGGGGCGGTGCCCAGCCTTGTCTGGCCAGGAGGCACCCCCCTGAAAGGCTGAGGACTCTGGGGTGGGGGTAGGGTGGTAAGATGACACCCCTTGAAAGCAGAAGCAGCCAGTTCAGGGCTCAGAGGCTTTGGATATCAGACAAATAAAGGGTCGGAGCACCGTCAGGGACTTTCTGGATCCTTGGGGTCTGGGTCAGTTTGTTTCAGTTTGTTGCTGGGTATGAGTCAAAGGTGAGCCACGAGTTTGGTGACCCACTGTCCCTGTTTGCCTGGGACTGAGGGGTTTCTGGGACTGGGGAGGTTGGTAGGGGCTGGTGGGGGGAGGTACTGAAATGTGCTGTAACCCGTAGAGTCCCAGGCAAATCAGATGCTCCTACCATCTGTTTGTTTAGCTCTTGTTTCCTCTCTTCAGTAATGTTCCCCCCCCTTCCCTCCCCTGCAGTCCTGAGTTATGTTTGGCCATGATGGCTTTGTGAAATTTGGTTGCTCTTGAAACTGATTATGCAAAATATGTTAAAAAAAAAAAAAAAAAAAAAAGGAAAAAGAAAACCAAACCCAGGGATGAAGCTTATGGTAAAAGTGTTGGTTGAGGGGCACCTGGGTGGCTCAGTGGGTTAAAGCCTCTGCGTTCGGCTCCTGTCGTGGTCCCGGGGTCCTGAGATTGAGTCCCACGTCGGGCTCTCTGCTTGGGGCAGGGGGGGGGCCTGTCTCCCCCTCTCTCTGACTGCTTCTCTGCCTACTTTTGATCTCTGTCTGTCAAATAAATAAATAAAATCTCAAAAAAAAAAAAAAAAAGTATTAGTTGAAAGCACCGGTCCCCTATAAAGCTGTGGGTCCTCAGACAAGTTCACTTTTCTGTGCCCTGTCTCCTCTTTGTGTGAAATGGAGAGGATCACAACACCCTCTTCCTAAATGGGGGAACCCCAGGGGCATTGTCCTCAGTCCCTGAAGCCCAGCCCTGGCAGGGGCAGAGGCTCACCCCGCCAGCAAAGTCTTCGCTGGCTTCTCGGACTGTGCCCTCCCCACACCGCATCCCACCTGCCACCAGCCGGTAACGCGGTACAGGACTAACTACACGTAATGTCAGCTGCCGCCCTGTGGTGACCTTCCACCTGGCTCTGTACACATGCCTCCACCTTCTTAATTGTGTCAGAGTCACTGAAGCTCACATTTGGGGCTAGTTTTTCTAGGGAAGAAGCCATGTTATGCAACATCTTGACCTTTCAGAATATATTATATATATTGTAGCTATACAGTTTTTTATATATATGTTTATACAGCTTCATATATAAAGTTTTATGTCATTTTTATATTTATTTAAACTTTTATGTATATAAAACTTCTATATTTTATGTAACTTTTATAACTTTTATAGATCTATGACTATATAAAAGTTTTATATATATTTGTATATGTATGTAGTTTTTTAGCTAAAAATACTTTTTTTTAGAAAGCCGTCTACTAGGAGGTGGGGAGCCTGGGTGGCTCCATTGGTTAAGCATTCGACTCCTTTTTCGTTTCTTAATTAATTAATTTATTTGAGAGAGAGAGAGAGGGAGAGAGTGCACACAAGCAGTGGGGAGGGGTAGAGGGAGAAGCAGTTGGCCCATTGAGCAGGGAACACGGTCCAGATCTGAGCTGAAGGCAGACTGAGTTCACCTAAGCATCCCTAAGCATCTGACTCTTAATTTTGGCTCAGGTCATGATCTCATGGTCCTGGAATCGAGTCCCCATGTGGGGTTCCCCACTCAGTGGGGAGTCTGCTTGAGAGTCTCTCCCTCTCTACCTCTCCTGCTGCTCTCTCTCTCAAATAAGTAAATAAAATCTTAAAAAAAAAAAAAAAAAGAAAAGAAAGAAAGCTGTCTAATAGGAGATACAAAAAAACATTCTCTTTCCCCATCTAGGCATGGCCATGTGAAGCTCCATCCCAGGGAGACGGGCAGAGCTCCTCTAGGGTCACAGTGCTTTCCCAAGTTCAGAGTGCCCTGTATTAGAGAGTGTGACCATGTGGTTCCATCTTCTTAATTGGGCCCCCGATAGAAAAAACTACACCACCCCCTTTAACTGGGATCACTGCCAAGGACTTGATTTCACCTGATGCCTTCCTGGGATGCTGAACCAAAGATTCCTTTTAATTGGCCCCTGGTGTGGACTGCAGGCTTATTTGCAGCAGAGAGCAGGTGGGACGTGGTATGTTTCCCCCAGAGGCCTTCCCCTACCAGCTCTGGGAGGCTGGGGCCACCTTGTATTTTCAGGGACACAGAAGGCGTTGCATTACACCTTCTTTTGAGATTAGAGTAGACAATACAGAAATCCAAGTTTGAAAGCAATTACCCAGTTTCTCATACTCCCTCGGGCATTGTGGATGTAATGTCAACTCCCTACCTTGGTGAATGGCTCCCCTGGTTCAAGTTCTTGTCACTTACCTACTTCTTGTGTCCGGAGGGTTTTGCTTGCCCATCACAGTCATAAACAAATTAGGCCACTAGAAATGCCAGTGGTCAAACTCTGATATCAACACTAATGAGATCTGGGTAGCTTAGAGTGTTGTTAACCTATCATACCTCAAAATAGACTCAACTGTTTTTAAGACTGCCAGTTGTTACCGATGCTACTTTTCTGATAACGACATCGCAATTTTTATCTTTATTTTTTTCAGGGTTTGATGTAAACCTTTCTTATTTTAACTTAAACTGGAATGTGTCCTGGAAGTTTCATGTTCCCATAATTCACTTATTTTTCTTATGTTTTGAACTTTCCTTTCACTTTGCAATTAATAAAAAAGAAAGTGAGAGATGTAAAACATTTTTACGTAGCAGCAGTGACCTGTCTCTGATTGCATCCATTCCCACCCAGAAAAAAAAAAAAAAAGACAAAAAACCCCACACCTTCTCATTCTCTAAAATGAAAACAATTCAGAGAAGTATGGATTTTGAAGTCTGACATCTGCACTTTCATTTCTTTTTCCATTGTAAAAACAAATGGTCTCTAACAATTGTTGATGTCAAACACAATCTTTAGGCCCATGAAACACAGTAAGCCTGAGAACGAATAAGGCAACTAAAGAGAGATGTTTTATTTAACAAACAAGCACAGTGATCTTCCTTATGAGTTAGTTTCCCGAGAGGAAAATATTTGTAATTGTGTTTGACTCTGGGATTAAGAGGGCAAGGTGCGACCCTCTCCCAGTGAACTGAAAAGCAAGCAACAGGACACACGTGTTCTCACCAGGGATGACAGATGCTGGCTGCCAAGACTGTGATATCCCAAGACCTAAATATTTCGAGTTTTGAACCAAACATACAACTTCGTGGGATTTGTTTTAAATTTCTCATTGGCAGGTTGTGACTTCCTGCTTAAGCAAGAAAAAGGATTAAAAGGGTTTGTTTATTTGTCTCTGACCATGAACAGCTCACTGCCTCTTGTCAAAGCCTTGACTGAATCTTGAAAAATGTCACTCTTCCAAGATAGCCTTTGGGACTCCCTCACCCCATTCCTTTGCTTTTCCAGCTTAATAGCTCAAAAGGGGCCAAAACACAGTCTCTGTAAAGACCCTGGGCCACCGGTCTCTGTTGCAACCTTTCCACTCCAACTTGTAGCTTTCAAAGCAGAGCAGATAATATGCAAACGAGGGGGCGTGGCTGTTCCAACAACTATGAATTTTGAGTACATACAATGCCCACGTGTCACAAACCATTATTCCTCTTTTGATTCTTTTTTTTTTTTTTTTAACTATTTACAAGTGTAAAAACTATTTTTAGCTCACAGGCTGTACAAAAAATAGAGGGAGGGCTGGGCTGGGGCTGTGGACAGTCATTTGCCAGACCCTGCGTGCTACGATACAATGTTTTTTCTGTAAGGAACCGGGGATATGGTTGATGATAAAGTGATCTTATGGGATACACGAACAAATTTGCAGTTAAAGGAGTACTAGATTTAGTTAAAATCAAAGTGAGGTTTGAGCGATTCAGATTATTCCGTATTCCACACAACAGCCCCCGCTTTTTTTTTTTTTTTTTTTTTTTGGCTTTCCCTTTTGTGTTAGATTGGGCTGGTGTTCCAGGATTTTGTGTTCCCTTAGCGCCCATGGTTCTTGGTGACGCTGCTTTGAAGAAAGAAGAGGTAGACCAAACGAAGAGTGGTGGACAGCAAAGCAAAGTTTATTGAATAAGAGTATAAAGCTCCTGGAGAGGGAGGGGGTACCCAAATGGGTTGCCCCCCCTTTCTAAGTTGGGGGATTTTATGAGCCCTTTTGCAGAACTTTCTTAAGCAATCAGGGTGTGCTGTGTCGTGTCAATCAGGGCTTTGGTCATGTATCTGTCTACCTATTAGGTTAATGTCCATGTGCTGATGGTCTTTTTTTCTTTTTTGGCTGACATCTGGAGGCTTAGGTCTTCACTGCCTCTTGCCCCCGATATTGACAAACGCTTTGTGGTTCATTGTTTTATTTTGGGACATTTTGCAGAAGTCATTTCTACAAAGGCTGCAAAGCAGAATGTCAGTTTGGGACATTCTGCAGAAGTCATTTCTGCAAAGGCTGCAAAGCAGAATGTCAGTGCGGTCTCGTCTGAGCTGCAAAACAGGATGGCCGGGCCGTTGTATCTTAGCTGTCCTGGCTCCATATTTTCTTATTGGGGACCGTGGTCCTGACACCCTCACTACCTAACTGTCCAACTAATTCCTAACCACGTTAAATTGGAAGAGCATTCTGAATGAATGTTGCAAACAGTTTTGTGTTCAAAATTATAGTATTTATGGTTTTTACTACTGTGGACTTGCTCACTGAAGCAATTAGCAACAGATATTTTTTCCTTGTGCTATTGCTGGTTTCCTAGGTGAGATTTGGCTCC